TCCTCCTTGCTTCACCTCACTTCTCCCTCTCCCGAAACAACGTTGGAGACACGGCACCGTAAGATAAGAGCTGTGTCAGGGAGAGCTCACCCGAACATTAATAGCTTCATGGATCTGATCAAACGGGATGAGGCTTTCATGAGACATAATTAAAAATAAAACAACGCAAATACGAGAACAAAGTGAAAGATAACCGACAGGATACAGCACTGTGTCCTGTCGGTTATCTTTTACTTTGCCCATCGTATTTGCGCCATTTTGTTTTTAATTATGTCTGCATATCAATAGTAGCCGAAACTTGTACGTTAATCAACCTTGACAAGGGTACCTACGCAGCAGCTTGCAAATAGTGGTGCCGTGCGGGCCAGGGGACAGCAGTGAACTATCAAAATCGGAGTGCAGCCTTTCTGATGGTGCGATTGTCCTGCTCGACGTACTCAACAAAGGCGATAGCATTTTGTAGTTTATGGATTTTTCCTGTGAGCGCGAGGGTTTTGTGTTTGAACTCGTAAGAAAATGAAGTCGCAATCATATGCCCTGATAACTTGTCTAATTTCTCACTCTTCAACATATCCCGTTCACTATAAGGAAGTTTTAGAATAACGTGCGTAAGGGCTTTGGGAAACCTAAAAATAGCGTCGCGATTATAAAACCTAAGGCAGCGCTAATTTTTGTTTACTCAAAGTGCTTGAGCGCGACACTGCTTGCGCGAACAAGCAATTGTAGTTTTTCGCAGTTTGTCTCAAAGAATGAAATGACTGCCATCAATATTATTAGTGTCTTTGAAAGTGCTCATCTGGGCCACTAAGCTAAGCGGTATACAACTTGGTACCTTCTAACACCATTTCGAAGTAACATTTAAACAATCGTCTACATCGTGTTCGCGGTAACATTGTCGCGTTTCGTAGTCCCACATTTTGGGGACCATCTTGACAGAAACATTTCAAGTGGTTCAAGTAGAAATATCTTTCATTGGAGCTTGTCTGAAAGTGATGTATAGCTTAAGAATACGTTGACAATAAAAACTAGTTCACAACATAACTAAATAGCCCGCCGGCACCTTTGCTTTAATTGCATTAACAAAATTTCGGCACCTATTTTTAATGAGAAAATGTGAGCAAACCAGGGTTAGAACGATGGAGACTTTTCGCGGAGAGTTTGAGATGTGCGGGGCTTTATATACCAATGGGTTTATACGGGACTGGCGCAAACGTAAAGGTGTTTCGGGAACGGGTTGAAAAGGGACAGGTTCAAATGGGAAGGGCGATTCGGGAATTCTCCTGTATGAGCCTCGGCCGGTACACGAAAGCAGTCTTCAGGAGCTGGTCGGAGCGCTCGTCACGGTGACCCCTCTGTGTGTGCCGCCGAGTGGATTTTCTGCTAGTCGCCCCATTTTTGTGCAACTTCTGTTCTTGTGAAAATGGGCGTGTGGTGCAAGGTGCTATTCCTCCGATCCTATCAACAACAGGCATCAGACGGCATAAAGCAGGTCCGACCCCATCAAGCGCCCTAGGCAAACTCCTGCCGCAGCGCCCCCGGCGCCCCATTCCCTTCGCTTTTTTATACGCCCCTATCTACGACATCACGTAGTCAGTAAACATGTGAGTAGCGTTCCAAAACAAGTTTTCTTTTTTTTTTTCTGACAAGAACCGCCGTGTTTAAATAAATTAGTAAGCTACACAAATTTTCAAATGGGGGCGCAGCGGCGCAACCCTATTGATGGCTTCCTGGGCGGCATCACGGGTCGCCTACCCCCGGTCCTGGTATAAAGTCGTGGATATCAAAAAAGTAAGATTTTCTTTTTTTTCTTTGGGGCTAATTTGAAGGAGGAACTATTTTCTACGGTTGCGGTCGTCACGAACGTTTACAATTAGGGTCTATACGTCCTTATCAGTGTTCCAATTTCTTTTTTTTTTTTAGTAACTGTCGCTAAGCCCAGTTTGCACGCTTAATCCCGTTCGGAATGTGTCGTTAGCCTACTGTTGTCCTTATTGATTTGTGTTCCCTACACCGCGGCTTCGACTTATCATAAATAGATCTATCCTTCTTTTCACCCATAAGAGCGTCGCCTCTTTTACTATTAATTACACTAAACTCGATCCTAAAATTTCTCCACCAGATAACCCTAGTTATATTGTCCTTGTAAGTAATTTTTTATCAATTTAGTCATGTACGGACCGCTTCGTGACCCACCTTTAATATCCCTGCTTTAGGTGCGCTTGAAACTGGGTTTTAAGTACTTTCAGAACAAACTCATGAAAAAATCAGAGAAATCGGCTCGCAATCTCCACTCTGCGCGTGCCCAACAGAGTGCACTGGTTCGCCGACTTTCTAAAAGATTTAAGTGGGAGAGCCCTTTGCAGCATTCTCAAGAAGGGGTATACTGTAATTTAATGCATTATGCCCCATTTTCTTGGGAGCACCTTTAAATACTCTTAAGAGTGTATCCGTTCAGAGAGGGAGAAAATTTGTCGACACCTGGTGACTTCTTTGCACAAATTAGTGTTTTATTCAATCAGCTTATCGCAAACCCCTTATGGTCGTGCAAAAAATTACTACATTTACTACAGCACAGTCAATAAAACCAGTTTTCAAAATAATGATTATGCAACAAATCTTACAAACTAATAACTTACAAAGATGTTAAACGGTTGTCTGAGTTCATATCCTTGGCCTTTCGCTCTCAAATGATATTGCAATTCAAATTGGCGTAAAAGTAACGTTCGTTCTCGTTTGAAAGTAACCATAACGGTATATCGTTAACGTTCGTAGGACGGTGACGAATCTCAGTTGCCCGTAAAGTTTTGACGATCAAACGAGTGACGCTATTTTCTTGCATGTTTTCTGTAACGGGCACACCGGTGCTTTGGTCCCACTGGTGCAGAAAGCCCAACACCCAATATCTTTGCACGGCCCCTTGAAGCTGACAGTGCGGGGGGAGCTACATATTTGCCGGACCAGACAACCAACTCGTTTTCATCTCCTGACCACGCACTCTGCGTGTATATGGCTGGGAGCACGGACATGCTCGTGCTCATAGGTTCTACGACAAAGTCACCTTACGCCTTTTGCACATGCCACCAAGGAAAATGTTTAGCGTTTAAAATAACTGGGTAAGTAATTTTGAACGAATAAATTGCACATTATTGATTTGAAGGGCCAGGTTTCAAATAGAATCTTGCCGTTATGATTGAAAACTACTAAAAACACCCACGCTACAATGGTACGATCGAAGCACGCGCAGCATTTTACGGCGTTCCGAAGAAATGCTCAATTTGGACGCATATCTTGGTTTCGCTTTCTTATCGGAGCACATCTCCGTGCCGGCAATCCCGCCCCCCGTGTCTAAGACGCGCAACGTGCGTGCGCCGCCACTCATTGTACGTAGAGTAGTCTATATATTAAAGCCTCCGGACTGTCACATAAGGTCTGCCTTTTTGACATCGGTGTCAGAGTGAAGACGCACCTTCACCAATATTATCTTAAAAACCATCTCTTTAAAACTAATATTTAACAATTTAAGTACTCGGAATTTGTTAAATATCCCATCATATTCAGCTCTAGCAATCTTCCTTTCCCACAGACCACTACGGCATCGGGCTTCTTTATTGTGCGATGCGTGGTTTTCGCAGTAGTGATTTTGCATTTTTCCGGAAACACCCTGTATATGTCAAAACAAATATTTTATACGTTTGGGAACAGGACTCTCCCTCCTTCAATTCTGGCACATCAGGAAATAGTGACAACCACTGTACAGTCAGCGCAGATTAACACATATTTAGATGGATTATACATATGTAGTTTTTAGATACATGAATATACACAATGGAGTCAATTACGCCTTTAGTACAACCAATGTATATGATCCGTCTACTACAAGGAAAATTTCGAATATTTAAAAGCCTGACGAAATCAAGTGAAACTATACTTCGTTTAATCTTAGGTCCGAGCGTGGCCGATGTTATGAGCCGAAGGGCCAGTCAAGCGGCGAAAAAGGCACAAAGCCATGGCGAGTTCTCTGCCGTTCATAGGACTATAGGAGTAGCCGGTATTCGCCATCTCTCTGTGCGTGCTTTTCCACCGGCTAGCCCTATCAAGCGCAGAGAGCACGCCATGGCGTTGCGCTTTTTGCGCTGTTTTATTGGTACCCCCGGCTCAAAACATCGTCCGTGCTCGTACCTAAGGTGCAACGAAGTATATACGAACACCAAATGTATACCACTGAAAATATGAATATCCTAGATGAGCACCGTCTTCGTGAATGTGCAAAAAAAAAGAATAAAGTCATGCAAAAGGAAAACATACATACGAGTATTTCATGTAGCAAGCACATTGAGTGACGACATCAGAATTCAGATAGTCAAACTGGTCAAAAAGAAAAGGACGAAGAATATTACGAAATGAGATAGGAAATTACACTTCATTTCTAAATATCCGAGTCATGTATATTCTGTTGCCGTCCTATGAGCAAAGCATTAGTTTCCAGCTTGGTGTGCTAAATTGTTTCGAATAATGTTCTATTTTTACATCTCAAAATTATGTTGACCCCTCCGCATTACTCGGTTGTTCTTATACTTTCTTAACATTTGCAATATTTAAGATTGCTGCTATTGAAAGACCTTCGTTATTTTATAAGTTTGTATATTTATAATCATGAGTAGGCCGACTTGTAAGGAACATAAGTGACCCTACAGACAACACAGACTCCAGGTGCATCACGACATTAATGACTTTAAATGAATAAAAAAAGATAAGGCTTCAAATATTTTCTTTTTTTCGTGTACAAAAAAGACCTCTGGTCGCTTCGACTAAGGTAAATTCAATTTTTTATCTGCGTTTGCTCGATAAATAACAGGCTGAAACATTTTGAACCAGCGAAACACACACTGCTCGCAAGTAGAACCGCTGCAGGTCTATCGCCAAGCCAAATGAACACACGTCGATGCTCGAGTATTTCGTTTAAATCCCCTCCGCAACTATGATGCACGTTGCTGTTTCGATCACTTGCGATGTATCTTCCGATGAGTGTGTAAATCGCTATAAGCCGTAAACGCTCTACTGCAGGTCTCGCACTTGAACGGCTTCTCTCCTGTGTGAGTCGTCTCATGAACCGCCAAGCTGCATTTATGACTAAACGCCCTGCTACACGTGTTGCACTTGAACGGCTTCTCTCCAGTGTGAATTCTTTCGTGATCCGCCAAAGTGCCTTTCAGAGTAAACGCCTTGCTGCACGTGTTGCACTTGAACGGCTTCTCTCCGGTGTGAGTCCTCTCATGATTTACCAAGTTGGTTTTCTTAGTGAACGCCTTGCAGCACATGTTGCACCTGTACGGCTTCTCTCCTGTATGAATTCTTTCGTGATTCACCAAGCTCCATTTATGACTAAACGCCCCGCTGCACGTGTTACACTTGTACGGCTTCTCTCCAGTATGAGTTCTCTCATGATTCGTCAAGGTGGTTTTCTGAGTAAACGCCCTGCTGCACGTGTTGCACTTAAACGGCTTCTCTCCGGTGTGAATTCTAACATGAGCTGTGAAGCAATCCTTACGCGCAAATGTTTTCTCGCAGGCATTGCAACTGAAGGGCCTCTCGCCAGTGTGAGTCCTCTCGTGGATTGCGACATCCGCAGCGGAAGAGCTTGAGTGAGGACAGAAGCGGCACGGGTGCTTGTCTGGTTGTCGGTGCGTTTGCTGCTTGTGTGGGCCCGAATTGTTGGTCTGGAGAGAGGTGTCAATCCTGCGGCTGTCATGGTCAAAGGTATCCACTTTGTCGCCACAGCCTGCTCCTATCCAGTCTGTTGGGATGACACGACAGAGCAAGAAAGGTCAGCGCATTTTTAATTGTTCTGAACATGGTCCAGTATACCTACATTATGCCGGTGCGGCCTACAGTGGCTATTCGTTCATTTGAGATCTTAAAAAGGTTAATTCGCAAAGCTTGTAAATGTCTACAGGGGATCGTTAAAGACTCTATTCTGGCAGCCCCACGGTGCGGCAGCTGTGGTGGCTTGCATGTTCTGCTAACCAAGCGCAGAAGGGAAGTCAAGCCGCCGCGGTCGCTGCTGCACAGTGTTGGCGGTAACGTGTTACAAGTAACGTCGTTACCGGTAACGCCTTTCTTTTTTCAGTAACATGGTAACGTAATTGTTACTTTTCCAACACAGTTACGGGTAACGTACTTGCGTTAGTTATTTCAAGTAGCGGATAACGTAATTACGTTACTCGTTACATCTTCCAAAAACTTAAAAAACAATGTTAGCACAGAACGAGCGGGTTGGTAGGGATAATTAAACTTGAGGAAGAAAACGTGTTTGTCCCTCCCTTTTTGTTTTTTCCTCAAGTTTAATTGAAAAACGAACACCTGTATTTTTTGCCAGTTTCTATACTTCGTTTTACCTGAAGTCCAGACGCAGCTGACGCTACAAGCTGATGGAAATTATCAGACAGGGAAAAGAGAACCATTATGGTGTTCTCCGTGTTTCTGTACTTGTTCAATCTTTGCTGAACCATAAACATTCATGGCCCAGTGACTTGTGATTTTGACACTGCTTGATTTGTTCCATTAGCTCGTAGCGTCGGCTGCGTCTAGATTTAAGCTGTAACGTAGTACATGATTGAAGTAATTAATTATTTCACTCATTCTACATATTTTCTAAAATTTTCCTCTCTTTTTCCCACGCAGGAATTTCCACTTTATAAAATCTCCAACGCCCGCGCCCGTCATCCCAGTGTCGAAAAACGCTGTCACCAAAATAAAACAAAAACGCTGTTATAAGTAGCGCTGGAAGGGCCGTTCACACACCCACAGATTATTATGTTACACAAAATAGCATTCAATTGGCTCGTAGAATAATCGTTGTGTAGCTTTGAAACTTGAAAAATCGCTAAGGTGACACGCGATTATTTTACGAGCAATTTGAAACATCGAAAAACGCTATTTCAAATCGGCATTGGTATGGACATTTGCCAGTCTAAAGCTAAACTTCGGCGACACAAATAATGCTGTGAGAAAGTTTTCAATCATTTGAAACACCGAACATTTATTGGGCTATTTCATTCGTTAAAATCATTTATAATGTTTTGACAGCTACTCGATCAACCGAAACTAAAAAAAAAGACAACTTTTTTTAAATAAATAAACTCAACATGATACATTTTTTTTCGATATCAGTCATCAAATATGGTGTACCAATTGAAACTTCGAGTGCTCGGACTGAATGTTCTTCCAATAGAGCCCAGCTTGATTGTTTACTTTCACTTGAGCTGTCGTTCTCAGACTTTAGAATGTAACTCCTTTATCGCCCCCCCCCCCCTTTCCTAAGAAAATAAACTTTGCATTGTGTTGTGGTGTACTTTTCTGCTCGGTGCAGGGCGCTAACCAAACCTTAAAAAACTTTCCACGTGGAAGAAACTTATGTACCCCACCAGACTCTTTAGAGTTTCCACCTTACACAAAATAGTATTCAATGGGGTCGTAAAATACTCGTTTTGTACCTTGGAAACTTAATACTTTGCAAAGGCACAGAGCGATTATTTTACGAGCAATCTGAAACAGCGAAAAACAATGTTTTAATTCGACATTTGAATGCACATTTGCCAGTCTGAAGCTAAAGCTAGGTGTCACAAATAATCTTGTGAGAAAATCTTCAAGCAATTGAAACATCCAAACCTTTTTGGGTTATTTTATGTGTCAAACATAATTTATAGCATTTGTGAGAGCTACTCGATCAACCGGAACTAAAGATAAAATACAATTTTGTGATATAAATAAGCAACTCAGCATGGTACATTTCTCCGATATCAAAAAAAGATGTATCAGTTGCAACTTGGAGTGCTCGGACCGAATGTTCCTTCAGTTGAACCCAGCTTGTTTGTTTACTTTCATTATAGTTGCAGTACTCGGACTTTGGAATGTAACCCCTTTATCCCACGGAAGGAAAACTTTGTGTACCACTTCAGACTCCTGACATTTTCCACCTTCTGGAAAACCTAGCCTACGAAAAAAGGGTTTCAATCCGTGTGGCACCAACCGTTCATGAATATGTGAGGGTGTGCTAAGAAGTTGCGAGGCTGGATGAGTGTTTTCCCGTGTGCGTCTTCGCATACCTGAGGTTGTTAGTTCTCTGGGCACCATAAGATTGGGGGCAGAAGTCGCACCGCCGTCCGTCCAACCCTGCGGCTCCATCTTGCATGGTTGCCTCTGCAATTCGGCTCTTTGGGAGAGCTCCGCCCCCTTGTCATCGCAGTCGGTTCTCTGCCATTCGGAGTCGAATGCTGCGTGGGCAATTTCTGTTAGGAATGAAGACAACGTTTTCTGTAGTTGCTTGCTTTTTATTTATACTACACCAACAGAGAAGCCCAACCAGAACAAACTCCAAGAACAAGCAAGCAGAGACACATCGTGCAGATAAAGTAGAGAAATTCAGTGGTTTACATTCGTATTGAGGTTTGATTCAAAAGGTAAAATAATCAAAGCACGAACAAACACGCGCATCATAACTGGATATTGAACATCCCGAAAAGGTTGATTGTAAAAAATGCATGTGATCAAAACTTAAAAGCAATACTTCTCTATCAACCACGTACGTCAAAGGTTTCACTTCACCTTTAAACACTCGCTAAATGATTACGTCGGAACAGTCCCACACAAATCGAGCAAGACACAACTGGAAATGATCAAGGAGCATTGTTTAGTTACGTTGCTCCTGCTCTGTAGTGCTCAAAAAGGCAGGCATGACACAAAACCAAGGTTATGGTATATCACCGTCATAGGTTTTGGGAATTACACGTCAACAAAACGGATACAGTGTGTCGGCGAACAAAGTTTTGGAAGGAAAGAGAAATGTCGCAGGCAGTTGGCTGAACTGTGGCCATTCCTCCTTTGATCCGACTAGTTGGTTCCATTAATCTGGAAAAGTCTAAGCCCAAAGGTCTGGCACTGCCAAAGTTGACCTGGATGGTGGCTGGCCCTCCTTCCGCGTCGCTCACATTTGCATTAAAAGCATTTCCGGTTACCTCGGCCTGCAAAGTATAGAAGAATGAGTATTAATAAACAGGCGCCAACACAAATTATTTTACCTGCCATCAGATATCGTCACATTCGATGAGCAAATCTAAAACTGAAGGGTACCAGTGCTGTCAACCGGTCTAGTTGGCTATTCATTACTTGAACAAACTGCGGAGTAAATGATTACGAATTACGACGCAGAAACGAGAAGAAAAAAAGGCAACAAAAAGGGAAAACGCGCATTTGCAGTACAGTTTGATCAAGTCAAGAACTGAAGGCCACTTTCAAAATTAAACGCGGCGTAAATAACAGCACGCTTTGTCAGTACGAGAGTACCTGCACGAAATTTCACTCTGAAGGACACGGAAAAATTAAGTCCCATGGGACTATACCATTTCCAAGTGTGTATGTTTTAGCCAAATACCAACGAGAAATTTTAAATTTCAGCGATAAATGTTTCATTATATATGCAACGTTTAAAAGCAAGGGGGAAGGAAAATGTTAGCAGGTTGCGTCAGTGCTGCACCGCCCCGCGACTGATGCTATCATTAATAAAATGAAATGAAGTGTAGATTAATCAATCAGACTCGCGTTTTGCCAAAAACCAACATAAGCGGGGTTCACTTAGGAAAAATGGGTTTTATCAGAAATACTTGGTTCACGCTCACGAGTTCCTCAGAGACTCGCATTGCTAAAGAGCCCTTTAGATCACCCAGAAGTTGATTACAAAATGTTATAATTTGGTTAATTGATCACTAGTATAAATTGATTACCATTCATCACCAGTATAGTTTTTACAGTCCCTATTGCAAGACAAGTATCTTTTTTCTCATTTCTTCTCACTCAAGACGAGCTTAGAGAGGCATTCCCCTCCGCTTCGTCCCCATTAAAGAGAATCTGAAACACTTGTAGAAAAATATGAGATAAAGGTAAATTCCAGCGTAGTTTTATTCAGTAAATCTGAATATTGCGTTCGTTTCTAGCTCCGAAAATGCAACCAAACGCGAGAAAACACGCAAAGCCTCCGACTAGTCGTAAAGTCATAATAGAATCTTTCGGCCGCGTTTTCAACATGTTCTATCGATCTCCTCTGCAACGCCCTCCCGGACCATTGAGGGAATGGTTCAGGCCGGAAGATGGCGATTATTAGATTTTGTTCAGGCTTGCTTTACCATCTAGGCTACAAGATAACGTCCTTCTTTTCAAAACCAGTTTTTGCGGTCGGTGTTGGTCCATGGTGAGAGCGATAGAATTCTCGGGTGCTGATTGAACGTGATGTCCCAACGTTTTACTGAGCGAGAGTTATCGGCCAATGATATATCTTAAGTGGGTTTCAGAGTTCTTTTGGTGAGAACTACTCATTAACACACGGATGGTGACAGGAGTCTCGCAGTAATATTTGTTCCGAGTGTACATAGGAGAATTTGAGCTCTGTACGGCAGCAGAGCTTGAGATTTGCCGAGGGAGCGCCCGTTGTCGATCGCATCAAACGGGAAGTATAGCAGACCATTTTAGTTTCAGCTTGCGTCTCGTATCACTTCGTCACGGTACTCGCAATTTACCAGAGGGCTGCCTTTATTCCGGTCCGTTAACGGAATAAAGTATTTTCTTGTTTTCTTTTTGTCTGCTAATGACGCTTCGTAGCAGACGAATTCTATTGTTCACTTACGTTAGCAGACTAATCATCTCCTGGCCTTTTCTTAACTCGCTCCGTAAAGTCCAGGTAACACTGCTCGTACACCAAACAAAAGACAGTGTGCAAACACCGTCTGAGACAAGCTTTTTTTTTTTTTTTCGTTCGAAG